CCATGCAACAACAATTTCAGAGGCTGGACATCATGTTTGGTGAGATTAAAGATAAAATGGAGAAGCAAGATGCAGCGATAGCCAAGTTATACCAAGCACAAAATGGAAGTCCGAATTTGCGTAGGAATGATGCTAATGATGATTTCGATGACGATTATAAAGATGCATTCAACAATGATGCCCGAAACTCAAATTTCAGCATGGACAGAATTATGAGAGATAGAGGGGGCCAAAGAGAGCAAAATCTGACAAGGTGGGGAGATCGGCAAGATCGTGACTTAGGTAGCATCAAGATGAAGATTCCTCCGTTTCAAGGCAAGAATGATCCAGGTGTGTATTTGGAGTGGGAAAAGAAGGTGGAATTGGTGTTTGATTGCCATAACTATTCTGAGGAGAAAAAGGTGAAACTAGCAGCGGTGGAATTTACTGATTATGCTGTGGTGTGGTAGGATCAGCTTGTGCTTAGTCGACATAGAAATCGAGAGCATCCTGTTGACACTTGGGAAGAGATGAAAGCTGTGATGAGAAAACGATTTGTTCCTAGTCACTACTACCATGATCTCTATCAACGATTGCAGGGCTTACTCAAGGGTCCAAAAGCGTTGAGGATTATCACAAAGAGATGGAAATCGCAATGGTTAGAGCGAATGTGGAAGAGGACAGAGAAGCAACTATGGCACAGTTTCTGCATGGCTTAAATCGTGATATAGCTAATGTGGTAGAGCTGCAGCATTATGTGGAATTAGAAGATATGGTACCTATGGCGATGAAAGTAGAACGGCAACTCAAGCGTAAAGGAGCCAACAGCAGAACTGGGCAAAATTCAGGTTCCTCATCTTCTTGGAAACTGAATTGGAGCAAAAAGGAAGAAAATTCTGCTTTTAAGCCTAAAACTGCAGCATCCAAGTCAAAAGAATTTGGCAGCAATGAGAAGAGTAAAACAGATAACACGCAAGGTAGAAACCGAGACATCAAGTGTTTTCGATGCTTGGGAAAGGGGCATGTTGCATCGCAATGTCCTAATAAGCACACGATGATCTTGAGAGAAGATGGAGAAATTGAAACCGAGGGTGAATCTGATGATGAATCTATGCCACCATTAGAAGATGCTAATGATGGTGTGGAATATGCTGTTCATGGAGAACTGCTTGTCACTAGGCGAGCTTTGAATATGCAAGCCAAAGAAGATGATGAAGTACAACGTGACAATATATTTCACACAAGGTGCCATGTCAAAAACAAGGTATGTAGTGTGATTATTGATGGTGGTAGTTGTA